GCTTCTCAAGGGTGGCAGAAGCTTCCTGAGGGTGACAGAAGTTTCCCAAGGGTGACAGAAGTTTCCCAAGTGTGGCAGAAGCTTCCCAAGGGTGACAGAAGCTTCTCAGGGTGGCAGGAGGTTCCCTTGACATGGATTGCACCAGGATTTTGCTTAACTAAAGACCTTTGAGAAACACTTGTGACCCGCTGAGGAGGCTACTGGAAGGCATCTGCCACTCTGTGGAACACTTCATTTGTGTGAAAACCTAAAGTAATTAATTACCTGTTAATATCTGCTCGCATTCATGGGACATGGGTCTGCACAACTGCACAACTACACTTATGCAGCTTTTTAGGAGGGGGCATGACAGATAGGATTCAATGAGACCAGATCATCACATTTGTGTTGCTGAAAACATCAGAGAAAGCAACATTTCTGGTTGTCCCAGAAAAAATATTATGGAGTGGTTATGGAAAAGAAGTGTACTAAAAAAACACTGCAACAGATTATTGGGAACTACATCTTTAAGACAAGCTCTCTGGATGTTCCCTTTTACTAAAAAAAAAATCTGCAATTTGAAAAGATGATTCCATAAGAAGTAGTATCAATAGGTGTAGCAGATTCATCTCCTAAAGGTAAGATCTGCTACAAAACACTTATTCCTTTCATTACATTTAAAAGCATTCAAGTTTTGACACAGTAAATATCATTTTAAATGCAATATTTTTTTTTTTAATATTGAAAACAGAGATCTGCAAATCTGTTGTTAAAATGTCTCCTGCATTCCTCTAATTGGAAAGTGCTTCTCAAGAAAAATGTGATACTGAAGACAATGCATAACTGGAGTTTAAAATATTGTCAATTTTGTATTAGCAAAAGTAAGTACAGGATATACAAAAAGTGGGTTTCGAGGTGTTTGTTCACTAGAACAAAAGGTACCAAGAATAGAAACACTACCATGCAAACAAAGGGCAAGTTCTACTAAGAAGAAAATTGAGCAAGATCCTCAGAAGTATTTCTTAAGAGTAATTTCAGTAATTTATTTGTGCACGTCGTGGTCACTTGGGTGTCTGAACAGTGTATTTTAAACTTGAAAGGATTGTAACATACAACCTGTGTAATGAGCATCACATGTGGGAAACACCATCTGTTTCAAAGAGGTGAATATCAAAGCTCAAAACATGCTAAAGTAATCAGTGAAAATCCAGGTGAGAGAACATTCAGGGAGAGGAGAGCAAAAGTTAAGACAGGGTCTTAGGCTTTTTCTTACCTAATATAATATTAATTCATCTTGTTCTTAGCTGAAACATTAGAACATTTTACTGAAGTCAGTTTACCCTAAGAACTCTGGAAAAAAACACCTTTACGAGTTCAAAACATGCTAAAGTAATCAGTGAAAATCCAGGTGAGAGAACATTCAGGGAGAGGAGAGCAAAAGTTAAGACAGGGTCTTAGGCTTTTTCTTACCTAATATAATATTAATTCATCTTGTTCTTAGCTGAAACATTAGAACATTTTACTGAAGTCAGTTTACCCTAAGAACTCTGGAAAAAAACACCTTTCCAGGACTAGAGATTGAGATTTCTTCTGAAGATCTCCTTAGAGATCTTAGAGATCCTTAGCTTGTTACTATCAATCACTAGATTTCACTTTGAAGTACCAGAGCAGGAGACATTAGAAGTTACAGTTACTGGCATGCAGTTATATGACACTTCTAAAAAAAAGATTCTCATCTGTACCACTTCCTGAGGGAACAGGAGGCACAAAAGAAGTCAGTCAGTGTAGCATCTTCATTTGTAAGACATTAAATAATAATATAATGAAAAATGTCTGCCTTTTGAGGGGGGACATTAACAAACAGATGACAAGTCTTTTGCTGGAATTGAGTATTAACTCAGTAAAGCAGGTGGGATGGAAGGTTTGCCCCAGTCACATACTAGTAACTTGGTAATTTTCAGCAGAAATTTAAGGAAAAGTGTAAACTGGAGTGGGACCCCGTGACACAGGAACACACTTGCTCTGCTACTCATTTTGCAAAGCTCAGACAAGAGCTCCTGTGCCACTGGTACCAGCAGTACTTCAGAACTGTGACAAGTGTGAGTGCACAGTGCTCAGCAACTCTGGGGCATGTCCCTCAGGAAGCAGTTTGCTTCCAGGCTCTAGGGCTCCATCTGTGCTGTGTGGTTGCAGGACTAATTAATACACCATCTGATTGCAAGGTATCTGGCTTAGCACTGCAGTGCAGCTGCAGCAGCACCTCGAGGGTGGATGCTGTGGGGTGAACATCCTCAGTGGTAACTCCAGAGACTCCTGCAGCTCCTTCCTCAAAAATGTATCTTCCAAGACAGGTCACCAAAATATGTGCCTGGTTCACTCACATGCCACCACAAGTGTCTACACCACTAAAAAATCTCTTTTGTGTTTCATAGTCATAGAGATATAACCATATATAATATATATGGGTATACATGGGTATATATATATTATATATATATGTGCCCATATATATTAACCATCTCTGTCCACCACCTGTGACAACAACTGCCTGTTGTTCAGTGGTGACACAGTTCCAAACCTAGTGCACCCCAGCCTGATGGTCCCAGCCCCACAACCAAAGGCAGCTCAAGCAGACTCACCAGGCAACACTGGCAATACAGACATACCCTACATGGTCTGAGAGGGATATAGACTAAAAACCTGTCTTCCTACCACTTAAAAAACAGTAGCAGCCTGATTAGCAGCCAAATGGTGTGTTTTTTCCTGCATATGCATTACAAGTTAACATCACCATGAGAGATGAAGTTTAGAAAGTACATACACATTTCCTTCATGAACCTTTTCATGTGTTCATCCATAATCTGAGGGTAAAAAAAAGAAGGAAGCAAATCGAACATTTCCTGTTCTTAATCAACCTGCACATTTTTATTCCTTGCTTCACTGACAGCCTGAAACTATTTCCAGTAAGAGCTGGAGAGCTCTGCAACATGCTTCAGTACTGGAACAACATAACTTTGGTCACCCCAACATTTCACAAGTCTTTACCTATAAAGATTTGGCAAACTTTGCAAATAATCTGCACATTATAGAAAAGTGCTGAAGAAACAGGTATATGTATCTGTTCATTGTAACCATTTAAAAAGGCAAGAACATGCTGCTTGAAATACTTTCCCAGTGAAGAAAAAGGAAATGCACTGTTTAGAGCAGTGTCCTTCAACTGGATCCAGCAGGGTACACTGAAAGCTACATGATGAGTGACTGAACCAACAAACCTGACACAGCAGAGAGAGGGGTCACACTGGTTTGCAAATGGAGGAAACACAACCAAAAAAAATCTGACTTCACAGCAGCCATGTCCTCTTCATGACAAGAGTTTTCAGATTTTTCATTTCAGGATAACAAGCAGTGAAGAAGTCCTTTCACTTTATGTCACCAAAGCTTTCTGCGAGGACTTGGGGAAACCGAAGACACACAGAATTTTGTTTGTACAATTTCTTATTTGAAAAAAAACAACAAACCAAACCCATAAAAACCTGACTAGCCCCCAAGGGGATGTTAAGTGACCTTTCTGTGTAAGTTGACCTTGTGTGTAAACACACTTAACTGGCTTATGTTTTTCTAAGCTTATGTGACAGGTCCGCCACATACTGTGCTATAACAAAGTAACACAACAATATTTTCTCAAAGGCATCTTTTGAATGAAAACATTGTAAAGTATTTTAGAAAAATAACTACTTAAATTACTTTTTTTTTTAAATGAACAGCTATAAAATCCATGAACCAAACAACATGTAATATCGACACAGAATGGAATATATTGCACTAAAGGCTAGATAATTACCACAGTGCTATAAAGCTTCAAGTAAATTACTAGGCACTTTTTGCCCAAACAGTGGTCACTCACTCATTCAGTGGAAAAGTCCAACTGACAGAAATGCATAAGGCAATTGCTTAATTGGAGACCTTAGAGCACTTTCTAGTGCCTGAAGGGGCTCCAGGAAAGCTGGGGAGGTGCTTTTCATCAGAGAAGAAACTGATTCAGGTGAGATATTAGGAATAAATTCTTCACTATGAGGGTGGTGAGGCACTGGGATGGGTTGCCCAGGGAGGTTGTTGATGCCCCATCCCTGGAGGTTTTTAAGACCAGGTTGGACAAGGTTTTGTGCAACCTGGTCCAGTGGTGGGTTCCCTGCTCATGGCAAGGGGGTTGGAACTTGGTGATCTTTAAGGTCCCTTCCAACCTTAATGATTCTATGAAGTTATCTTAAGATTCTAAATTCCTCAAAAAAAGTGTAGATAAAAAGGCAAAGACCAAAAGGGCAGGTATTATGCCATTGTTAGCCACTTCCCTCTCAGCTTGGCTGGAGTTCCAAAGTCAGTTGGTGTTAACAAGTTGGCCTTTTCCAACTTACATGGGCATTTCCATTAAGGCTTCACGTGTCAGCAGAGCAAAGAAAAAGAGATGGGAAGAAAGGCTGCAGGGTGACACGTGAGCAGGAACAAAGCAGCAGAACAGAACTTGACTGTGATTTGAAAGGGCACTCCTTGCTTGCAGAACACCTGGCAGCAACACTTGCTGTGCTCTGTACCAGCCAACCTAGAACTGTGCAAGTGACCCCAGCACCCCCAGCAGGGATCCTCAAGATCCCCAACACCTGGAAGTTAAATCTTTGAGCAAACAAAAGAATAACCTGTTGTGGGGGAATCCAAGTACCAGTAACAAGCATAAGCTATTATGAACAAGTGCAATTAAAATACCTAACATAATGAACAGAAGTACAATATAGGACAATGAAAGCAAGAAATAACATGTTTCAAAATACTCTGAAAGGCATTATTGATACTTGCACAAAGCATATTAATATACCTAAATCTATTATTAATAAATATACTTGGTATCATAGTCTATTAATTTAAAAGCTAAACATTTCAGAAAGCAGCAGTTTGTGGCATAATTTTAAAGGAAAGTTTGTTTTTTTGGGAAGCATAGCACTGATTATTCCTGAAGAAATCACGTCATCTCAATTAGGTGCAAAGTTCTCCAGCTGGAAGACCAGGTCTACAGCAGCATCAACATCTGGTACGATATGATCTGGTTCTACTAAACCAGGGTCAAATCTAAAATCTCTGTGGCCATGGAAAACAGTTTCAGTTATTCTCTCCCTGGTATCCAGGGGCACCTCTGTGTGAGGGTTGTAAACCCCAGTACAAACAAGAATGGACCTACAGTGGGCAGCAGCTGCAGAAGCCAATTCATTCTCCCAGCTGTTGTCTATTTCACTGGCCTGAGAGAGAGAGGCAGATCCTCTGCCAGCAGCAGCCTGGGCCTGAACCCGTGACTTTGAACCTTTCCTGGAGTTCTCTTCAAGGTAGCGGTTGTAAAGGTTGGCACCGTAGACATCAGTCATGAGATTATCTCTGGAAACACAAGAGGAAACTTCAGTCAGCAGTGGAGTTCTACTGTTCCAATTGCAATGGTATGCAAGACACCTTTATGTCTTCAATGCACAATTTATTTTATAGTTCACCAAGCTTTCTGTGGCAGGATGCAGAGAAGCACACACCCAATCCACAGCTATCTTATTACACCATTTGTACTAAGCCTGATACAATAAAAGTGAATCATTCTCCATGTTGAAATTGCAGTCTGAGGCAGGGGAAGGGTAAAACAAGGATAGGTACTAGCAGTCCATGAATGAGCTTATTATAGTTCCATCTTGGAGATTCTGGAACAGTCTTTAAAACAATACAGCTCTATCTTCCTGTGAAAAGGATTCTATGATACGACAGCACACACAGGAGCATATGACTGAACTTAATAACCTCACAAATTCCAGCTCTACATTCCCTAATAACCATCACTTAGAATAACAGAGTCCTAGAATGGTTTGGGTTGGAAGGGACCTTAAAGCTCATGTAGATCCACCCCCCTGCATGGGCAGGGACACCTCCCACCAGCCCAGGTTGCTCCAAGCCCCATCCAACCTGCCCTTCAACACTGCCAGGGATGGGGCAGCCACAGCTTCCCTGGGCAACCTGGGTCTCACCAGCCTTACAGTGAATAATTTCTTCCTGACATCTAACCTCTTCCAGTTTTTATCCCTTGTCCTATCACTACATGCCCTTGAAACTCAAAGCTTTCTGACATTATAGCAATAAACCTAACAAAACACCCATGCAAGTTCCTTCTGGTAGATTCACACAGTCTATTGGAGAAATAATAACATAAAATGTGGGAGAAATCAGTGCACACAAACCACCTTCTGTGCTTCTACATAAATTGCCCACAGGAAGAGCAAAGCATTATTAATTTTCAGGATTAGAAACAGTGAGGCTCAAAAACATCACCAGGAGTACCCCGCGGCACCGAGAACTTGCTGTGGTCTTGATGGCACGAGAAACAAAAGGAGTAGTTTTTGTTTCCGGGCATGTGTGAGTGCCTCCCTGCTGCAGTGGTTAGACCCTGGGGCTCCTCACCCGACAGCATAGAGGGTGTGGATGGGCTGTCCCCAGCGGCGCCGGGCTGCCTGTGCCCTCAGGAGCTGCTCTGCAAACTGGTAGGTCACTTGGCTGGGCTTGCCCATCAAGGCCTCGTATTTCAGGTCTTTGCCCGTGATCTTCTTGTAAATGTTCTCCAAACAAACCATGAATGTGCCGTGCCCGAACCTACACACACAGAGGAGCAAATCAAATGATGTCAGTCCACATAAAAACGCTCTTGTAGGAATGAATTGTATCCTGTGACTATCTCATTTCCCTCTGCATGCAACGTCCCCACAGCTGTTGCATTGCTGGAATTAAGTGCTGATTAGCTTAACAAGAAACATCACCATAAAACCATGTTATTAGGAAGGCACAACAGACCTACCCATTTTTAAAACACTGCAACGGTTTGTGTGTTACCTGCAGTTCAGTAGATGCACTAATGGTTGAAGGGGGCACAGGCCCTGGGACCCTTTTCCCAAATTGCCTCTGTCACAAGGGACTTTTGACACATCAGCGACCACTGAAATGGGGATTTGTGCATATTTGTATATTTTTTTAATTATCCCACATTACTATCTCTTCCCTTTTCCACTAAACCTGCTCTAGTTCCAACCTCAAACAAAAAAAAATCAAACAAACCCACTATCAGAGATCAGGCCACCTTGTTCTGTGTGTTCCACTTGTGTTTCCTTCCATTCCTTAAAGCACTCATTATATTGTCCTCAGCTCAAAAACACTCACTGCTTTCAACTACCAGGGTCAATTCTTTACCCTGCCAGAAATTGGAGCATGAAAAAGGAAATACCAAAGATCCAATGAAATGAAACAAATGGTCTTGATAATGATTTTTTTTCCCTTTGAACTGAGACTCCAAGGCCCTGGGGCAAACATCTCTTTCCCCACTCTTCTGGGCATGGGGAAACAAAAAGGTTCAGGGCTTAAAAGCAGTTTTTATCTTGAGGAACTGATTTTCTCAAAGCTATAATGTAGAGAGTAACAAGGCAGCATTGGCTGAAGTGCATTGCTTTAGAGATGTTTTATTCCAGGCTGGGACCTCCTGTCACCTACCTGTTATAACTGCACTTACCTTGGAGACTGAGCTTCAGCCACCCACATCAGATCCATGTTACAAGCAAGTACTGGAATATGAGGATAATTTTCATGGTGATATGGATTTCCAGGGTAGCCACTTGTCAGCAAAACGTCTATGATCAGCTGGAGGTTGGTTTCCCATCTGACTGGCTCCCCAAACAAAACAACAGCTAGGAGAAGAAGAATTGCAAACTAGAGTTATGGAGTTAGTTAATTGGGCACCCAATCTCTGATGCTGAAACATGGTCTGAAGAGACTGAACAAGGAATCTGATTTAACCAGGAACATTAGTCACATTGACTTTGAGCTTTATTACATACACATTCATTCACAGGAAACCTCAGAAGTATCAAGACCCCACTGCAAAATCTACAGCTTTAAGAAATGTATTTTTTTATTGGCTAAGAGTCTCCATTGCACCACAAACCAATAACTTCTAGATTGTATTTCTGAGTCTTCTGTATCTTTGTATACAGGAAAACAGGAACTAGACTTCAGGATCTTAAAATATCCATATATTGTGAATTTGAGCTGAGGACAATATAATGAATGCTTTAAGGAATGGAAGGAAACACAAGTGGAACACACAGAACAAGGTGGCCTGATCTCTGATAGTGGGTTTGTTTGATTTTAATATAGTTTTATATATAGTTTCACTTCCCTGCCCTTCTCCCAGTCTCAAACATGAACACAAACTGAAATATAAATGGTTGTTGTGACTGGGTTGCTGCCTTGATCTTGGGTTAAAGATCTTGTCAGATATCCTTACTGGGATGCAAAGACCATTTCTAATTAGCATGTTGGCAAAAGACACATGGGTGATAGTTTCAGGCTAGAGTGAGGCAGCCAATAGATATTTAAATAAACCTCAGTTTTTATTCACAGTATTTAAATAAACCATCAGAGATGTCATTTTGTGCATCTTAAAACAATATTTGAATCCTGGTTTTAGACATTGTTCTGGCCTCCAGCAATAATCTGATGTGGATGTTTTAAAATCCTGAAGTCCAGTCTCTGTTTTCCTGTACTTGGGATGAAATGGAGGTGACACTGGTTTGCTGCAACAAGAGGCTTCTCCTGCCACAACTCTCAAGTGACCACTCTGACCACTGTACCAACAAGACTGATTGTTCCTGAACACATCAATTCATTCCTCATTTTTAAAAGCAAAGCAACAATAGACTGTGAAAGGAAGATGCAGTGGAAAGCAGACCTCACCTGCCTTCTGAAGCTTCAAAAACACATGGCTGAGAATTGCACACATTTAAAAAAAAACAACTTTATCACACGTGATCCATTCCTAATTAATGACATATATAATTAACAAGGAAATCTTAGAATTGCCTCAGCCAACTTTATGAAGTGCCCAATAATCTAAAAAGGTATTTCATCTACTAATGAATAGTTGCAAGCAAAGATAACTGACCCTCAATCTTGGGAAGCTCCACAGCAGAGGGATCCTGCAATAAGGAAAAAAAAAGTAAGTTTTCTACAAGATTAAACATCTACTAATATTTTTAACAGAACAAATTCAAGGATAGCTCCCACTGTTGCCTTCTGCAACACTGACAGGAAACACACTCTATTTTGGTATATATACCTGAAGTCAAAGTCTAGTTAGAAACTTGTATTTCAATTCTGAAGTGGATGTCATGGATAATGGACCACAGATCAGTTTGTGTGTTCTACATTCACTGCCCTCCTACATCTATTTATCTTTCTCTGCTAAGCTACAAAGATTCAGTTGTTTAATTTGCTTGTGTATTAAAGTATGGATGTTTGGTTTTCCACAGGAATAAGAGGCTTCTAGTATTAACAAGGCATTTGAAGAAAACATTTTAAAATGTATTTAACACTGTTAAGAAAGAATAACAATACATTGTATAATGCAGAATATATTTGCTAAACAAATAAGAATTTGCACTTCATTATTTACTCTCTTTGGGGAGTTAAGAGTTTCTTGAACTTCTACACCAGTGTGGTTGAGAAATAAGGCAAAAGGTGATTTTACTGAGATAACTGAGTTTTGGGTTCTAGGAACCACCTGGAATTTATTGACCAATCCACTCCATGCACTGACCCTGAATATGCACAGCACAGGCACATCTTCCCTGTGTGTGCATTCACTTCTTTGTGAAATTCTGCACATACCACACTGTATTTAAATATATTTAAATAATGATATCAACAAGAAAGGGAATCCTTTGGAGAAAAATCAGTTATCTGCAAAGCATTCATTTACAATCCAAGAACCTCACAGCCTAGGAACAACACCAAGACAATCCTGCACTGAAGGAAAAAGCTTCCACACATCTGAGGAAGTCAGTAAGCTTTCCAGGACAGAATCTGAATTAGGTATCTGTACTTAATTATAAATTTCCCCACAACAGTAAGTTACAAAATCAATGGTCATGTTAAAGAATATCCACTGGCAGGAAGAAGTCTGTGCAGTTGTTATTGAAAATGCTGCAATCAAATAAAGCAGCAGAAAAGCAAAGCCAAAATACAATGTAAGACCAACAGCATTAGCTCAGTGGTTTAAATATTGACCCCTATTATAGGAGGTCATCTAATGAAGAAACAAAGAATTTTAAAACCAGAATACTCACTCACCAGAACATCAGGTCTCCTGTCATGATCAACTACATCTAGCAAAGGGTGTTTCTCCCGCAAGGTTTCAATGGTAATGGGCTGGCAGAAACCCAGGCTGGGGGAAAACCAGTTAAGGACACAGAACTGCTCTTGAGAAAGATTCTAACCATCAGTAACTCCATTTTAACATGCACAGTTTATCTGGTAAAGCAAACTATTTAGGTGAGAAGCAACATACTGAAGACTGTTTCTTCTGAGATAAAAAGCTGCTCATCTCAGAGGTTCAAACAGGAGACCTCTGTGTCTGAAATCTTAAGACAGAAATTATACATAAATCTTGCTCACAATGGCATGAAAAGCAAGAATTCACTCTACACCTGCAGGACTCCAAGGTCATCCTTCCATAAGCACGATGAGAAGTGTACCTGGCAGCAGGACAACTTCTTGTGTCATTATTATAGGAAAGAAACACAAGCTGGTTGAGGAAAAAATGCTGTCTCCATAAACTGTGCTTCCCTTAGGCCATGATGCCACACAAACAAACACTGTAAAGCTCAGACTCTTGCAAAATGGTGGACTGACCCATCTGGTTTAATTATACTGTGCAGGTTGCTAAGATAATAACAAAACACATCAAAAAAGGAAAGGACCAAGAGGGGAAAAACCAGCCTCCTGATTTGCATAGCAGTGCTCTTCAATGCTGATATATCCCATTCATTTAAAGTTAATTAACAATAGGCAAACTACCTCTGCTCATCTGTGTAAAAAGCAGTTGTGATGCTACAACACCACAATGACTTCTTACACTGTAAATGGAAAGAAAAGCTATTTAAATATATGTTACACAAACTAAGCCACGTGATTTTGTATTGAAATTAACACCACAGGCCATTTGTAAAGCTATTTTAAAATAAGATTATCCTGTATGAAAATGCTATCTAAAAGAAATACAACTTTTATATTTTGTATTATACTTTTCCCCTGGCCCCACCTAACAAATGTTGACAGTTAATTGGAATGTTCCTTTAGTAACTTGTTCACATCCTTGTATTTAAAATAAAGCTTGTACTTAAAAGTTGCACATACATTTTTTACAACTTATTATTTCCACCAACTTGAATTAATATCCCAATAAAGAAGAAGTGCAGAAGGGAGTTACTGGAAGCATGAGTGAGGATTATGCAAAAGCAAAGGTCATTACATTACATCTTGAAACTTTGATACCAATGTTGCATCAACATAATTCCAGTTCCTTTTGGCAGTTTGTATGGAAGCAGGTGAATATTTTAAAGTATAGTTGTACTCTAGGTTTTGTTTACAAAACCTGGGTGCCATGGCCTGGCCAGATGCTGACATGAAGATCTTGAGCCACTGAGCTAAAAGTCAAATGTGACAAGTAACAGGTTGAATTCCACATTCTCAAGCTCAAGAGAGCACAAACCCTTTCTGCTGCAGTGTCATTCATTCACATACAAGTAAAAAAATAATTCTCTTTTTTCCTTCCCCATTAAAAACAAGACAGAACTAAGCAAACCAAATATCAACACAACCATTTCCAAAACGTAAATTTGACGTCATAGCAAGAACTATTATCACTGGATTTGTAGTGTTGAAACGTCTGGTCTTGACTTGATCCTGGCCTTGATTAGGGAAAATACTTAAACAGAAAGCTGTTTGCTTGTTTTTTTAAAGATACTCTTGAGCAATATCAAGAAGGGGTCCTTGTCCAGACACAAGAACACATTTTTCATGGTAATGCTTGAACATCCGCAGGGGACTGTGTGACATCATCACTTGATCTTGGGAAATCTGTGTGGGATTTAAAAACAAAAGGCCTCTGTTTGTTCCTCAGAGAAGTAATTTATATGTAGATTGAATCAGCAGGTGTGACAAATTCTATGAATTACACAACAATCATAGATATCTATGCAGAACCCTGTCCTTTTCTCCTAAGTTTCACAGAGGACAAACTGGTAACACCAGAAAAGACATTACTGACCAGTTGTGACACGCCCCTTGCAGCTTCCAGAACTACTCTACTCAACATGAACACCAGGTTTTTCTCTCCTGGTTTTACAGAATCACCACATACATTTAGAAAACAAAAAGGGAAGAACTGCAGCTGCCCTTATTCCAGTGGTGGTACATTTGCTGGCCTGAAGCACTAGGTGTGTTAGGAGACCTTCATCTTCCAGTTCACATATCCCACTCCTCCAACAGGTACCAAACCAGTAACATTACTATTAAAGTACTTGTGGCCTTTACAGATCCAAAATAATTATTGATGTGCCATTTTACCCAGGACACACAGGATTTCATTGCTGCAGACACAGCCAGGCCTGCTGGCCCTTTCTGAACCAGAAGGCACTGTAGAACTGACTGGAGGGCTCTCTCTGTGTGATGCTCAAACCCAGCCCCCAGCAGTGAAGTCCCACTGCCTGCAGCACCCACAAATCAGGGGGGGATCAAGTTTTACCACTAGCACCAAGAGGCAGCAGGAAGCTCCAGACTTGTACACTGTCACAGAAGACAGCTTGCTAGAGCTGAGTTTCATGTTACTGGCACACACATTTTTTTACTGAGAAGGAGAAGGCAAGACTTATTCCCACAGTAATAATGTTACCAAAAAAAAAAAATACCATTAGCTTTACCATTGGAAAACTCAGAACCTTTACCAGTGGAAATATCATTTGATTTGGACAGTATTTTTTACTTTTATAATACCTCCAGCAAAAGCATTTCAGTGGGCTTAAGGGAAAACCAAAACTGATTTAACTGAGCAGCACTCGATGGAGGGTAAAACCTTTGACTCCTTCACCAGAAGTAATTAACTAAGTAAGATTGAAGCTACTCACTGGAACTCCCAGCAGCTGAGACAACTGATCAGCTTTTTCCTGGCGAAGGCAATTCCCTGCATTGGTGACAAATACTACAGGCACCAAGAATTGGCCCTGAGAATTAACAAGCTTTTGAAAGGAGCAGGAATTGGAGTCTTTCCTCGCACCAGGACACCATCGATGTCAAAAAGGAAACCAAAGGATGGCAGGATGCTGAGCTGCAAGGAAATTAAAAGAAAGAATACATGGGTTACACCTTCACTTACACCCAGGCTGACAAAAGCTGAAGTCCACTGAAAAAATAAAAGCCCCCACAGACTGGGGATGGATCTTTAACTTCAGGTATTTTAATGTGACCTATAGACATGTGCATACACAATACCTACTGTGAACAAAGGAGCACTAGGGCTCCCTTTTCCTTGTGCAGACAGCCTGGTGAGTTCTGCCTTGCTTTACAAGTAGTTCCAGAACATTGCTGAGGACATTAGAATTTTTTTTTTTCACAGAAAGAGTGGTTAGACACTGGAACAGGCTGCCCAGGGAGGTGGTGGAGTCACCATCCCTGGGTGTGTTTAAGGGTCATTTGGATGTGGTGTTGGTGGATGTTGTTTAGGGGAGAACTTAATAGAGTAGGGATGATGGTTGGACTGGGTCATCCCAAGGGGCTTTGCCAACCTGAATGGTTCTATGATTGGGACAAATTGAGTTAAATTGGTGAAGAGATACAAAATCCATGCTGCTGTGCCAGCGAGTCACACTCCTGATTAACTCCACTCTATTGCACAGGTCATTTCAATGCACAGAACACTAACAAAATGAACTACTGTCAAAATAAGGAAGTGGGTTTTCCAGCAGCAGGTAGGTCTTGAATGCAGATACTGTATTTGGCTCCTCCCTAACAAGATGTTTAGATACTAAACCCATCCAGGCTCACTTGTACCTCTGTTACACAGCAAGTTGGAGTAGAGTTGGGTATGTTGTGCTCCTTACACTTCAGTTCATTCTTAGTGTTATATATGGCAAACTGTTGCCTGTTGTTAAAGTTAGAGCCTCCTTAAACAAAGATGCTGTTTGAGTCACTAACAGTTATCTCATTGCCTTTGGAGAAGAACTTGACTTCGTGGGCCCAGAAAAGGAGAGCAAGGCTTTCTGGGGATAAGAAAGATGAGCTGGGTGATAATCCTGAGGAGTGGAGACAGAGAGAGGACTCTCATGCCATGAAACCATTACTAACTCAGGCTGGAAAAGGATGGACCAAAAGAGTTTGTTATCTAAACTTCATTTGTCTCCCAAGCCTAAATGGAATGGAGGCCTCTTGGGATTAATGATTCCCTCTTTCATTGTTTGATGGAAAAGGGGCTGAGAGATGAAGCAGTGCTGGGGGGCACAAGCAGACACGGGTCCAGCCAGGGGAGGTGAGACAGCCGTTGTGTTCAAGCCACCTCAGGGCACCTACAGCCAGCAATCCAGCCCACCAAGGGCATCCTGCCTCTTCAAGCAGCACTCTGTTCCTCATCAATTATTCATCTAGCTTCTCCCTGCAGCTGGGCAGGACACAGAGGCAGGCACTGCAGACCCCCTGGCTCTCAGGCTGCCTCTGCTCAGAGCACACACACCAGCCACCCCCGGGATCCCGGCCCCAGGTACATGCCCAGCAGAGCCTAAGCTCCCCCCTATTTAAAAGCAAACCCCCCTGCAGCCGTTTCACGAGCAGGAACAACTCAACTGCTCTGCAAAGGAGCCGGGCAGCCCGCTGGGGAACACCAGTTAGCTCAGGCTTGGCAAACTGGTACTGAAATCGCTGAATTTACTCTGCAACCCGGCCCGGTGGGTCCCTGCTGATGGCAGGGGGGTGGAACTCGGTGATCTCTGAGGTCCCTTCCAGCCTGAATGATTCCAACTATGGCTCTTCACACTCATCTTGCTCTCTTTAAATCAAGCACATCACAAACCTGAATTTTACAGGGAACTGTAGGAGAAAAAAATCTACCAAGTGCACAGAGAGAAAAAAACCCCAACAACCCAAGGAAGGAATTCTGTGTCTTCCCGGCAGGACGATAAGGAAAGGAACAGCTATTTTTTCCTTTTGACCACCCCAGAGGAACACTCCCCCCGACCCGCAGGGCTGAGCACCCGAGGGGACGGGGCTTTTCCCTGTTCCTCTTCCGCATCCACCTGGAGCCGAAGCCGCCGGGCAGCGGGGGGAGCTGGCGGGGAGACCCCGGTAACAGCTCCCAAACCCCAGAC